CTGAATCAGCGACTGTAAGTATGTTTTGTTATTAGTTTAAGTATTTGCTATTGACTGTTCAAATGCGGAGTTTTGGGCATCGTGTGTATGTGTGTGCGTGTGTGTGTGTGTGTGCGTGCGCACGCGTGTGAGAGAGAGAGAGAGACAGGGTCACATCACAGTGGAGTCAGCGACCTACAATAATGTACAGTATTTGAAAAATAATGTGTTTTTTGAACATTAAAGCATGTCAACATATTCTGTTACACCAAATACACAAAATAATGATCTTTAAAAAAGCACCATATGACCCCTTTAAATATTAAAAGTAACATGAAGTAAAATCCTCTAAATATTTACAGCATTATGCATGGGAATCACAAAGGTTTTCGTTTTGAAGCAACTGAAAGTAGTGACCCTCTTAACCTATTTTTTTTATTTATTTTTTTTTTTACACAAAATTAATTTAGATGACTCATTTCTAAGAACAGGTATAAAAATATTCACCAGTTAACCCAGAAGGCCCTGCACATACATTTTTTTTATAGATAAATAGATATTTACTTGCATTCAAAAAGCTTTTGACTATTAAAAACTAAACCACAGTTAATAAATATTGGTTTACTATACTATGATCTATTGTATAGTATAGTATGTACACCAGGGTTCAAAAGTTCGGGGTCTTTTAATGTTTTTGAAAAGTCTTTTATGCTCACCAAGCCTGCATTCATTTAATCAAAAATACAGTAAAAAATAGTATACTTATACATAATTGTAACATTGTGAAATACTACAATTTAAATTAACCATTTTAAAATATTTTTAAATGTAATTTATTTCTGTGAGGGTAAAGCTGTATTTTCAGCATCATTACCGCAGTCTTCAGTGTCACATGATCCTTCAGAAATCATTCTAATATACTTATTTGCTGCTGAAGAAACATTTCTTATTATGATCGATGTTAAAAACAGTTCAGCTGCTTCATATTTTGTGAAAATCGTGACCGATTTTTTGAAAGTTCAAAAGAACAGCATCTACTACAAATATAAATCTTTTGTAACAATGTGAGTCTTACACTGACCACTTCAATAGCTTGTATATGTATTTAACGACTATTTATTAGTCACAGTCACCGATAGTCGACTATTGTTTGAAATGGGTAGCTTGACTATAGCTGCACAGTATGCTGTCATTTAGCATAACGGTGCCAATGATGAACACATCTCAAGTTTTCAGGCCATAGAGTTAAAAAAAATACAAAATCAGAGCACCATCAGAAACCACATGAAAACGTATGGCGTTATTTTAATGACAAATTTCGAGAGCGCATTATTGTAGCGCGAAAGCACATACAATAACCAGTTTATGTTAAAACAAAAATACAACAATAAAAAAATCAAGGAAAGGCCCTGCACAAATCTGTTTTGAGACTACTTTTCAAAAGTGCATAATGATAACCTCTGACAATGTTTAATTCAGGTGCGAAAAGAATTAATATCTATAGCGCATGAGCACAGAGAGATTTGAGAGTGCACAGGACACAGTTTGAGTGAGAGGAGACACGATTTAAGTGTGCGCACTCTCTCCGGGCGAGAGCAGCGTGTATCTGAGCGAGCGTCCGGTTTTGTGCGAGAGCAAAGGAAATCCGCGCGCGAGCGGAGAGATTTGCGCTCGCGCATTGTATTAATGTGCTTTCGCGCTACAATAATGCGCTCTCGACATTTGTCATTAAAATAACGCCATAAAAACAGGCGATAAACAGCCTGACATCTGGAGAAAAAAAAAAGAGAGAAAAAAATATATATTTTGCCAAAGCTCATATCATTCTGAAAACTAGGGATGCAACGATACCATTTTTTCAGATCCGATCCGATCCAGAAAATTCTGAGTATACTTCTGTGTGTGACCTGATCATCACTGTTTTGTGTGTTAAACACAATCTACTACATATAGACAACTTCATTGTAATGAAAAATAATATGAAGAAATATATCATAATCTATGACCAAAATACTATTATAAAGTAGGTTAGTGGATAATTTAGCTGCAAAAGTTATTCTAGAAAAATCATGAGTGCACAATAATTTTATAAAATCTAAACATTTAGAGAAACAACATTATTTAGTGGGGAACAAATATAAGTGAATAAGTGTAGGACTAAATCTGGTCAAATGTTACACATTGCTCTTTGTCTTGTTGTAAAATACATTCATGAAAACAAGTAAATGTATTTATTTATAAACAAACTATAAAATTAAACGACATTTCTTTTAAATGTATAGCACAGTAATGAAGGCAGCAACATATGATTGATAATATGTTGCTGCCTCCATTACTGTCCTATACATTAGATTATTAATAACCTTTCTTGATCTGTCCTATCATAGCACAAACCAAGAAACGCTATAAATAATCTTTCGTTGCGCAAAAGTATTATAATACGAAAAGCTCCAATCCAGAGCGGCACAAAGCGTTTATGCGCATCCCGTGCACAGAATGATGCGCTTGAAGCAACACGGACACTTGGACTTTGACTTTATGGTGCTTTATAATGTTTTTGTGCTTTCGTGGGGCTTACCAATAACACAGAATGGTATATGCACAATATGGGATTTGGATCGGTCTCGTCTGACCGATACCCGATCCTGCAGAAAATGCCAGTATTGAAGCCGATACCGATACCGAGTATCGGATCGATGCATCCCTACTGAAAACATCAAACACAAGTAAACTAAGAATTAAATTGGGAGGCAGTGTGGTGCACAAGACCATGATGGCAATGAGGGATCATTTCCACAGTAGAAATCATATTCATAAACGCTGTAACTGAACTCTTCACCCCTGTCACACATATGACTGAAGCAGAGGGCAAAACTGAAGAAATCTCATGACAAGACAAACACACAGAGGCATGCTGGGTAACTCTCTCCTCTCCTTACCCTCTCCTCCAGGCCGGTGTCTTCTCCAGCGGCGTCCTTCCCATCAGGCATGTCTCTGCAGACGGGCAGGGCTTTCTTCAGCGCCGGCTCGCGGTTCAGGGTGGTGTAGCCCACGTGCTCGTAGATGGGGTTGATGGTCATCTTAGATATGTATTCGGCGGCTTTGGTCTCGATGTACAGCGTGATCAGGCCGTCCGTTACCAGGTCGTGGATGGACTCGAAGCGCTTCTCTCCCACAAAATGCTTCCCATCGTAAAACAGACGGAAGTTTCGGGTCTGATTCCCAAAGCTGAGAGAGAGAAAGAGAGTGTGTGTTGGACTCGAGTGCTGTAACACACAGCTGTGAGACGATCCATAGAGAAATGAGAGACACACACACACACACACACACACACACACACACGCACTGAACATCTCTGGATGTATCAACTTCCTGTACTTTGCTTTGTAGTAGTAATGAACCTGGAAAGTAACGAGCTCATATGTTGATCAATATGAAGACCTGATACTCTCTCCCCCCCACACACACACACATGCACACACGCACACACAGTTCATAGCCCAGTTTACACACATTTAAACATCTATTCTACATGGTTATCACTGTATTTTTAACCTTTTGACCTATTTTAAGTTTATCTAGGCTTTTGCACCAATGATATTTAATATCCACCCTTCAATATTAATTGCTCTTCCACCCAACAGGCTGATTTTGAAACATCTGTATATTATCACAATATTATATTATAACAATAACAATATTATATTTATTGTGATTTCTACTAAATCAAAATATTAAAGAAATAAGAAACATATTGCAATAGCACTGTTATAAAAATAAAATATTTACATCTGCATTTCTTCATTTTCAAAAGTTAAAAATCAAGCTTTTAGACATCCAAATAAGATTGGCTAATTGTGATAGTCATATCATAAAAGCTGCCATTTATTAAATAAATATAGTTTGCCATTTCAGAGTGAAGCGTGGACCTGTGTTGATCTAGACGTGCACAGCTCATGATACAGTGTTTTACAGTATCTCAGAGCAGCTTCGTTCATCTACTGTCAACAGAGCTGGTCTGAGATAAAACACTGTAAAAGCTGCAGGCGTGTAAATAAACACAGTGCCATGCTCCACACTGAAAAAAACATATCTGGCTAGCAAACCACCAAATTACATCGATACGATGTCTGACGATACGATGCATCGATGCCACGCATACAATATAGATATCTGTAATATAAATAGGCACCTTTATTTTGGCACTGTCCACATTTTCACATAATGTCTGTCTAAGCATTACCGACAACGCGTGCATTCTCGTGCAACTCACGTATCAGGACTCGATATAAGGACTGCCCGAAGGCACAAGGTGAGCATAAAAGACGCTTGGGATTGTTTGCGGAACAGTCGAGCGCTGTGTGAGAAGTTTTCTGCGCACACATCTGAAGCGCGCGCGCACAGACAGCCACTACACCGAATACTAAATTGAGCTCTCTTCCGCTTTTTGTGCATGGATGAATAAATACAGACAAAATTACTTCAAAATGCGCGTTTTGGCGAATATCCTAGTAAACACAGTCAGTTAGGCCTATGTCTTAAGGTAAACAGTTGAGAAAGAAAAGGCATGTGTATCAGTAGCTAAATCCGTGTTTTCATTCTTAAAGTGAAAGCAAACTAATAATAAATCTAATGATGTCAAAGAAAAATACAAGTGCTCACTGCTCCTGACTAAATAACCTTTGTAACATCAAAAATGATTAATCTATATTTAATTTATACATTGAAGACTATGCACTTATTTTACATTTGATTATTACATTTCTGTAGCGTACCTGAAAATTGATTTTAGACTGAGCTGAAAAACCTGAAAAGCACTGTTTATTGAACTTGTGTCTTTGT